GCTTAATGGAGAAGTGGATCACGCTTGAGGGTCAAGTGCTAGCAAACTCATGTCATACGTTGTTCAACCAGACTTCTCAGGAATAGAAATTCTGACTCATATCAGCCTGACTCAACACTTTACGTTTTAGTTGGGTCCCAATTCAGGGGGAGAAAAAATGAGAGCTATTTAATGATTCTCTAATATCTCAAAAGGATTCCCTCTAGAGTATATTTTGGTTCTGGCAACTGTCCCAAAGCTGTCACTAGCACAACACAAATTTAGCAATTAATTATTCAGCTTATAGCTCCTGGAGCACATAGGAACACAGGTACATGAACTCAGCTTTTTCCAAGAAGACCTACTCTCCCCCTACCTAGAACCCAGATTAAAATAGATGAATTTGCTTTTGCTCTCCTGTACTCATGGGTAACTCTTTAGACCACTCTTTCCCATAGAATACAGTCCTCTGAGAGTTCCTATTTTATGCAGTGATGGCAGTTCCAACTCTCCTGCCTCCAACGTCAAATGAGTATTAACACCTAATATCAGCCCTCTAGCAAGGGCTCCACAGAGCAGTCCCACATATGTACCTCTCTGATTTGCAGTTTCCTTTTTGTTTTGAGCATCTGTTGATTTGCTTTACTTCCCTGCAAGGCTCATCATACGCTTATTAGGATTTCTATTTTATCTAGAATTTCTTGAGATTGTAGTGAGAGGGCTTTTAGCTTATGTTTTGTGCAATTCTGCCAGAACTAGAGGTGGAGATACATGTGACATGCACTTGGAACAGCCCCTGGTCTGTGATAACTGCTACAAGTGTTTGCTGTAATTAAAAACATTGTCTCCTCTTCTCTTCTTTGTGTAGTAGTCAGGTGACATGCATAGAAAGTCTAGTGTGTTACCTTTACTGAATGATGATACAAAACTATGCATTTTAAAACTAAGGCATATTCCTATATAAAAATCTAGTGGGGTGTTGTAAAGATTCAGTTTGAAATTGATTATGTGCTCTTTGTTGAGAGGGGTGATGCCAATAAACAAAATATTTTTATTTAAAAACACATTTAAAAATAAAGCTTCAAAATAATATAAAACTAAAACTATAAAATATATAACTAAAACTGTTAAGATTCAGAAATCTAATGCTTTTTGGCAATCATTATTTATATTTATGATAAAGGGAGCAAATATACTGTGAAGCTCAGGGAACTTAAACTTTAAGATCCCTCATTTGCTCAGGGCTGAAAACAAGCCTTGCCAGTGGATTTACATGATATTTTGGTAAAATGTGCGAATTTTTCAAAAGTGAGATATTTCATCCATAGTCAGTTAAAATAATTGTCTCTTCCAATTCCTACTTTCCTCAGTCATACCTTCCCATTTTCAGGCAATTCTAGGGAATCCCAGACATTTTGGGGACCCAGGTAAGGAGAAGTTAAGGTGGAATCACATTTAGCTTGAGTTTAGTGAGATGTATTTATATAGTCTTTATGGTATGATATGGTTCACTGACACTCATGTAGAGTCATTACTAGCTGTATGAGTATACAAATGACTTCTAAGAATACTTCTGCACTACCTTCCCACCCATTTGGATTCATTCAGAGTCACGAGACAGTAGATGGAAAACATGAGCACTGGAGGAAAAAAAGCTCTGAAATGTAATGAAGCAGGAGCTAGGCTTTGAGAGATTCTTCCGATCTTTAGACCTGAAAAACTGAAAGCTAAAAAGCTCATTCTCACAGATAATGAAACAGAAGAGAAATGTGAAACAGATTTGATAAAAGGGCACATACAATTATAAACACATCTTATTTCTTTTTCTTTTATATGGAATAATAGGAGGTAGAATATATAATAATTCCTATTTTAGGGCTCAAATCTATATCATTACAATAATCAGTGAGTATGTGTATGTGAGAGGTCACATAATAGAAATCCAAATATCAATAATACCAAGAAATTTCAGTCAAACACAATAGAGGAAAGATTGCATTATCTGTTCTTGAAACAGAGAAATATTACAAACTCATTGTTTTAAAAAGACACAGTTAATGAGCAAACAGTCAAAATATGAAGGCCAAAAAGTATTATAGGGGTATGTTACTCAGTTAATAAAAACTTATTTTTCTGTATTTTGAGATGTTAGTGGTATTTGTCAGCTTTTTAAAATTTGTATTTTTGTTATTATTCTAAAATAATGCTCATACTATACTAGTTTTTATGTTTCAAATTTTGTAGGAAATTTTCCCAAAGCTTTAAACACCACAAAACCTTCTCTCCAGGGTCCAAAACAAAAACAGAAGAAAACAAAGTAAAAATGAACCAATTTAATGATTTAACAATGCTATTTTGATGACAACATTATACAAACTTAAACTTTTGATAATGCATAACAAATAAATTTGGTGAAAATAAATTTTTAAGAAAAGCACATCTCTACATTTTAAGTTATATCTGCATTGTTTTTCTGTATGGTTAATTTAAAATAGAAATTAAAACCATTTATAAATATTCAAAACTTTAACTTTTCTCATTGTCTTTATATTTTTCCGTTCTCATGTCACTAATAAAGACATATCTGAGACTGAGTATTTTATAAAGGAAAGAGGTTTAATTGACACAATTCACCGGCAGGAAACTTACAATCATGGTGGAATGGGAAGCAAACATGTTCTTCTTCACATGGCAGCAGCAAGGAGAAGTGCAGAGAGAAGTTGGGGAAAAGTCCCTTATGAAACCATCAGATGTTGTGAGTGAGAATTCACTCACCATCACAAGAACAGCATGGAGGTAACCATCCCCTTGATTCTATTACCTCACACTAGGTCCCTCCCACGACACATGGGAGTTACGAGAACTATAATTCAAGATGAGATTTGGGTACAAACACTGTCAAACCAAATCAGTCTCAAACTGCCTTCATCAATAAAAAAGAAGCCAAATGTTAAATTACAACTCTCAACCTGACTAGAGGTAAAAGTAACTAGTGTGCTAAAGTTTATGGTTCATGGGATTATCTGATTAATAAATTTTGTTCAGAAAGGTATAAAATATAATAAATCTCTAGTCCACAAATATAGAAATCAATACCCAGTAATTGAGTATAAAAGAATAAAAATTAGAATAATAATGTGAATCAAATTTAGATGTGCAGCATTTCTAAAAAGGACCTTCCCTGAGAATGACAAGATGGATGAGAAATGAGCTTGACTGCTGTCTAATACACATTGGATTTTTCTCCTTGATTTTTGTGTCAAAGGCTTATGAGTTCCTGAAGAAGTGATATAATCTTTCCTCTGTTGTTTTCCCTTTATTTTGTCAATTAACATAATTGCAGTATATCCAAGTGGAAATGTCTACCAGGCAGCTGAAAGTGAAGGAGAAGGGCTCAGGAGAGGTCGAACTTGAAGACAAGGATCTGGCTTGTCACCCGCATCGAAACTGCCAAAGAGGGGGATAGTAAGAAACACCAGAAAAAGGCTGCTGAAAGGCTCAGAAGTCATTTATTTGAGAAATAAAGAAAAGTCAAAGAGGTCATTTAAAAAAAAAAAAAGGAGGAAAAAGATAAGGAATCAGAAAGATAAGCAGGAAACCAGGTTATAGCAGCATCTCACAGACCAAGGAAGAAGGCACATTTCTAAATACAAACACACAAAACAGGAATTGATCCACAATGTAAAACTCTGCAGAATTGTGAGAAAGAACAAGCACCAAAAGATGGAGCAGGATGGCGGAAAAAAATGTAACTCATTGTTGACTTTACGGACTACAGTTATAGCAGTGTAGCCACAGATCAAATCACAAGCGTGCACAATGCAGTAATACAGGAAGTATATACAAATTATTCCCTGAGGACATTTATTTGGGATTAAAAGCAAGGATGTTTTTAAAATCAGGAGGGTGGCCAAAGGAGAAGGCGATTTTCTTCTACTTCTTTTGATGTGGCCCTTTGATGTCACTGGAGTACATTCAGGTAGGCCTGCCCACCAGAAGGACCCAGGAGAGAAGTCAGGCATGGAGATGAGCTAGCTGTCATCTTCTTGGAGATTGCAAAAGAAGCAAATGATAGAAACTTAAGAAAAGGGCTGCTGACAGTCTGATAAATCACTATATTTGAGGAGCGGAGTGGAAAAACAGAAACAGGTTGTTTTTAATTGTGGCTATTTTAAAGATAGAGGACATTTGTACATATGTTTAGGCAACAACGTTTTATAGAAAGACAAAATGAAAAGCAAGAAAACAAAAGGATGTAACTGAGAGAGCCAGTCACATCTAGAGAACACATAAGAAGATGAATTCAAGAGCAAGGAGCCTATTTCATAAATTTGGTGATGAATTCACCAGTGTTAATTTTACTATCAGTTATACAAACATACATTACATGCTATTATATAAAGATCAAGAATCACATATAGTTTTTAAAAGAGTGAGTAGGAAAATACATGTGACCCTGGGAATCACTTTTTTTTTTTTTTTTAGACGGAGTTTTGCTCTTGTTACCCAGGCTGGAGTGCAATGGTGCGATCTTGGCTCACCGCAACCTCCGACTCCTGGGTTCAGGCAATCCTCCTGCCTCAGCCTCCCGAGTAGCTGGGACTACAGGCACGCGCCACCATGCCCAACTAATTTTTTGTATTTTTAGTAGAGACGGGGTTTCACCAGAATCACTTTTGACAACAGTCGGAGAGCTAGTCCTCTTCTCATTTCATTGTCAGCAGGACCCATCCCCATCCATACCCAGAATATAAAGCTAAAGGCCTGTTCTGCCCTAACCTTGCAATGGCTCGAAAGAGGACTCAGAAGGAAGGCTGGGAAACTCTTAAAACACTGAAAATAACTAACTCAGACACAACTTGAAATTTCTCATATTTTTCTTCCCTGAGTGAAAACAATACTTAAGAAACAATTTACAAACAAAGCATTTCCTTCATAAATACGTGCTTAAAGTACTCAATAAAGTCCCAAGAAACAAAAGCCATGGTGAACTGAGAAGGAAAGATTCTAATTTTTATTACATCTCTATAACTCACTTGCAGCTACTGCAAGTCATCTCGTTTCTTTGCCTGTCAATATTCTCAGAAGTAAAATGAACAGGTTGGATTAGATGATTTCTAATGTCCATTTCCACTGTAACTGTTCCTTTTCCCTCTACCATCTGTGAGTTTTGATCAATGCACACAAGCCTCTGCTTCCTAATAGCTGCAAATCTTGGGGTTCCACTGGGTGCCATCCTCAACAAAATGGCAGAGTTGGCTAGAAAGAACCATGACTCACAAAAGTGTATTTAATAAGCACTTCTGTAAATAACTTCATTGTGCTAAGCCCCAGATGTTGCTGATAAATATTAGCCAGCTAAGCTCAAGAGGAGAAGAGGTCATTCAAGGAGAAGCACTTGTGTCTCAGAAAGTCGATGCGTAAATGGTAAGCCATACATACCAGATTTGCACTGAGGAGGTAAAAATAAGTCAGCTTCTTCAAAACAAAATAATTGCTGAAGCAGATTAACCACCCTCAACACACACACATACAGTAATGGCACTGGCAAAACAACATTTATCTCTAAGTCTCAAGCCCAACAACTGAGACCAGTACAGGTGCCAAGTACTCAGTAATACATGGCAGAAAAAAACACGAGCCACACAAAAGTAAAGGGAAGCAGTGACTAATTTCTGTCACTTACATACAATACAAAATGGGGCACTAGAGAGATGCATGCCCTAGAATGTCCTGACATGAGTAACAATTGCTGGGGCCCAGGAGAAAAGTTCTAAAATCTTCAAATGGCAATTTAATTTTAGTTCAGTAGTTCAGACTGAAAAGAGCTCTGATAGTCTATCTGGTAAAAAGAAAGTCATGATCAATACTGACTGGAGAGTAACAGTTAAGCATACCAATCTTTGTTGGGGTTTGCACTTGACCTGAGGCTCAGCAAGATTCCTGTCTTTGAGGAGCTTACAGCCTAAGAGGATGCAGCATTGCAATGTTTTCAGATGCCACTTGGATTAATCTAGTTAGGCTGCACTTATGCTGGAGTAACAAACAACCCTTGAAATCTAGGGACACCATGAAAGTACATTTCTCACTTATACAAAGGTTGCTGTAAGTCAGCGTCTGAGCAGCTGTATTCCATGCAGTGACTTGGTGATTGAAGCTCCTTTGACTTTGGGCTCTGCCATCTTAATATGTGGCCACCACACTCCCCAAAGAGAAAAAGGAAGTTGGAAACTGCACTGGGGTTTTTGCTGCCCCAACCTGTAAGTGCAGCATGCCATGTTCTCTCATAGGCCACTATCTAGAACTAGTTGTTCTGGGAGATTAAAAATACAGTCTCCCAAGAACCCAGCAGGGGAGGAGAAGTGGATTTTGGTGAACTCGAGTAATATCTATCATGACAGCGCTGGTGAAAAGCAAATATACCCTCATATTCCTACAGGAAATTAATAAAGACTTAAAGCCAAGACTGTACCAGCTCATGCCAGTAGCCCTATTCTTCCTCTTTTTCAATTGCCTACAAAATGCATTGGCCTCCTTTTACTAGAAGTATTAAAGAGTTAACTGTAAGTAAACATGGTTGGAAAGCAGGATCAAAAATTAGACTGAAAGAGAAAGGCCAGGATGAGCTATTTCTAGCCAAGTCCTTTCATGTTGTGCCATTACCCTTCAAACTGAACAGCTGAGCCCTTAGGCTCCTCACAGTCCAATGATGACAGAGCAAAGATAATATTCATCAAAGAAGCAGCAGGGGCAGGGAAACTGAAGGGACACCACCACCTCCTAGAGACAAGGACCAGTAGAAAACCCCTTAGTTTCTACATACTTTAACACATGCACATACCTCGTATGACAAGTGTGACCTCTAATATGTACTCCTTTAGTTGAGATCTCTTTGGAAACCTGGATTTACAAGTTACAGCCTACTTGACATCTTCTCTTAGATATGACTAAGAAATTACACAATTCACATGGTCAAAATGAAACTTGTGATTCCCCCACCACCCCAAGGCTTCCCTTTTTCTCCCTCTCTCTCACCAGTTTTCCCTATTTCACTAAATAATACCAACATCAAGTTAGCTGCTCAAACCAGAAACTACTGAGTCATCCTTAATTCCTCTCTTTACTTCCACAGGTTACACCTAATCATGTATTATTAATTCTATCTTGAAAATAGATGTCAAATTTGTCCACCAACTGACACCATCCTGGCTCAAGACACCATCTCCTCTCGACTGTGTAAGCTACAAAAATCCCTTCCTCACCTCCCTGTTTGTGTGTTTGCTAGTTCTTAATCAGCTCTCCATGGAGCAGCTAGAGTCTTCTCTTTATAAGTGTCTCCTCTATGTAACACCTTTCATTGGGCTTCCATTGCACTAAGTATAAAACTCAGATGAAACCACATGATCTCCCTCATATCATTCTGAGCCATTTGGAAACTTGCATAATGATCTTTCTTTTCTACATAGGCTATCTCTTTTCCTATGTCAAGGTATTTATAAAGGCAGATCCTGTGCCCATCTTCCCGCATAGCTGCTCCTTTTTAATATCATCAATAACAAATAGTAAAACCTTGGGTTTTACTGTTGCTTTATGAAAATTGCCTTTGTAATAAATGTAGATATTCTAGATGTGATTTAAACAGTGAAATTGTTCCAGTTTGCTTTATATCTTAAAATCCTACCAGCCAGTTGAAAACTAAATGTATACTAATTATTATAAGAATTCATTCAAACAAATAGTTGAGTCCTTCCATGTACCAGGAATGGCTGTTATTGTCAGGGACGTGTCACAAAACATGGGATCCTGCCTTACAGAGTTTATACTCTAGTGGATGATGACCTAAAATAATAATAAACATAAATTATATATGGTTTCAGAAAGTGATGAGTGTGTTAGTGCGGTAAAGAAATTACAGGACAGAGTCAGGAATCAGGGGCCTTGGAAGAGAGACTGACCATGTTAGCTTCACTGAGGAGGTGATGCTGGAGCAAAGATTTGATGGAAATGAAGGAGTGAGCCTTGTATATCCCCAGGAAAGATGCTTCAAGGAAGAGGTAACAGCCAGTATAAAGGCTTAGAGGTGGGAAGGTACCTGGTTTGAACTAGGAGGAGCCTGAACATAGAGGAGCCTAGTAGCAGATGACAGGAGGGACTTGCCAGGGCACAGATCATGCAGGACCTGGTAGGGCACTAAGAACTTTGGCTTTAATTTGAGGAAAACAGGATGTGATTAGAGGATTATGAGCAAAAGAGGGACATGATCTGACTCACACATTAACAAGATCATTCTGGTTGCTGAATTGAGGACTATGTTTTACAATGAATATTGTGAAAACATTGCTTAAGAGGAAAACCCTCAAGTGAAAAAAACAAAATTAAGCCTGATTTTGAAAATTAAAAAAGAAATCCTCTTCTTGTACAATCCAAAGCTTTAATTTATGGGATTGTTTCAATGAAATCGCATCATGATCATCAGCAAGTTGGCAATTCCAGGAGTTAAAGATTTTACTGGAGTCAGTTATTATTGGAGAGTAGGATAGCTTAGTGACTTGGGGGGAATATCACCATTAACGCTACTACTGTAATGGCAGAGCTTGATAAAAGCGTATTTTGCTCCTTGACTGACCTCAGTTGAAAAAGAGCATATTTTCAGTATCATAACTATGAAATAGAACAACCACAGGAGCTGACATCTGAGAAATTATTACCACTGCTCTATAATGCCAATTCTAAAAAATTCTGCTTGGTATAATTTTAATTAAGCTGTAGTAAATAGGTATTCTTATTAATATTTCAGATTTATTCTTGTATACCAGACATTCATTTTATGACGGTGATATTCAACTTCAGCCAATAGTGATTTAACACTCAGTCATTTGGCATTTGGTCAGAATGCAAATTTGGTGCAGGTTGAGCAACCTTAATCTAAAAATCCAAAATCAAAAATGCTCCAAAACCCAAAACTTTGAGCAATGACATGATGCCCTAAGTAGAAAATTCCACTACTGACCTCATATTATGGGTCAGTCAAAAATTTGTTTCATACACAAAATTTAAAATATTATATAAAATTGCCTTCAGGGTATATATATAACATGTACATGAAACACAAATGAATTTCATGCTTAGACTTGGATCCCATCTCCAAGATATCTAATTTGGATGAGATATAGAATTTGAATATGCAAACACTCCAAAATTTGAAAAAATCCAAAACCCAAAACATGTCTGGTCTCAAACATTTCCGATTAGAGATATTCAGTCTGTATATGTCACAGACTGAATGTGTGTACCTCCTAAAATGGATAGGTTGAAGCCCTAACCCCCAATAGGGTAGTATTTGAAGCTAGGGCCTTTGAGAGTTAATTGGGAGTTTAGATTATGTCAGTGAGGGCATGGGCCCCCCACGATGAGATTAGCATCCATAGAGAGGAAGGAGAGACACTTAAGCTCACTTTCTCTCTGCCATTTGAGAACACAGTGAGAAGGTGGTCTCTGCAAGACAGAAAGAGCATCCTCTCTGGAACCAACTCAGCTGGCACCTTGATCTTGGATTTCCCAGCCTTTAGAACTGTGAGAAATAAATGTCTGTTGTTTAAGCTACCAAGTCTGCAGTAATTTGTTATAGCAGCTGAGGCTGACTAATACAGCATATATCTAAGGCTATGTGTGAAATCAACATTTGAAAACAATTTCTAATCCATACAGCCTTGGAAATAATATTTCAGGTTTTACTTGGCACCTGGTGCTCCAATTTTTCAGTTTAAGTCAGGAATCCCTAAGCACTTAAAGAGAAAGAGAAGAAGCTGCTTTCCATTTCCTTCAAGTTTGGGCTAGATCAGGGATATGGGGTAGAAATCACAGAAGCCAGCTGATGACCTGTGACCCTGAATAGAGCTGCAGAGGAGGGTTTAAGAGCCATGCCATCTGAAATCTTGGCCAATGCTATAGGGTAGCAGAGGTCATAGGGCCCTATTCAGGCAATCAGAGACTTTTTTTTTTTTTAACTTTTAAGTTCAGGGGTATACATGCAGGTTTTTTATATAAGTAAACTTGTGTCATGGGGGTTTATTGTATAGATTATTTTGTCACCCAGGTATTAAGCCTAGTACCCATTAGTTATTTGTCCCGATCCTCTCCCTCATCCCATCCTCCATACTCTCACAGGCCTCTCAGTATGTGTTGTTCCCTTCTGTGTGTCCATGTGTTCTCATAATTTAGCTCCC